AGGAGCCGGGGTCCCCGGGGCAGCGTTCCCTCAGGAGGGTTCACCGGTGCGTATGAAGTTCGGAGAAACAGGAGATGAATGCAGCCACGGGTCTACGACAAACTGAGGTTTGTGTGTTTTCGAGTGTCCTGGCAAGACATCGTGCGACAGGGAATGATCCAAAACTTGCTCAGGGAAATCCGGGGCTGTCCTGAAGCCGCAGCCCCGCCGGGGCCTGAGGGCGGCACCGAGCGGAGGGGACTCCAGGAGTTCTTCTCTTGCCTGTGTCAGCCTGCGATCAGCAGCCTGGCCTTGCTCTGCCCCGGCTGTTCGCGGTGGGAGAGCTTCAGAACTGAAAGTACAGAACTGCTTGATCGTGTAAATGCACCTGTATGAGAATCGGAATTCTTTGCTTTTTGTTGTATCCACAGGTTGAAACGCCGATCGGTAATATGGAGCAGAACTTAGAGGCGCTTCAGGAACCTGCTATCACTAAGTAAGCGACGGCCTTGTCTGAGGGTTGAATGTGCAATGGGATTGAATTATATGGGTTTAATTAAAATATGAAGCGCGAAATATTAATGGTTTCAGGAGCAAACGTGATCCTTCCTCAATTTCTTCTGCTGCTTTCTATGCAAACTGAAGAGGCTGCTGATAATTAAGACAGCACGTCTTATTGTTTCAGCTGATAATCTACTGACTGTTAAATTCTTTAAATCTTCATAACTGAACAAAAGGGTGAAAATGAAATCTAATTTAGATGTTAAGAAATGTTATTTTAAATTGTTTTAAAAAATAGTTGAAGTTACTAGGCTACAGTAGCATGAACTTACGTATCACAGTTCTTAAAATGTTCAAAAATCTTAAAACCAAGGCTATTAATTGCTAAAGTCCTACTCTCATTTTGTACAGGTAATAACCACAATTGTTCTTCCCAAGTATTAACTGCATTTTTCATCACAACACAATCATCTCTTTTTTTTGACATAATCCAATACTAGCACAGCACAAAGTCTTTCCCAGGAAGTGTGGTCATGGGCGAGATTTGATGTAGGACATCATCCCATCCTGTTCCAGGAACAGAGCAATATAAAAAGTACTTCCCCATATAATGAGCTAAGTAGTATCTTTAGCTATCGTAATTTGTAAATAAACTTATTACCTAATTTTTGTATGAAACAGTTTCTTCTATCAGTATTACCAAGAAGCAGTCCAAGGTAATATCATGCAGATTAACTGTAAAAGTATTTCTTAAAATAACAGAAACATGCACGTTCTGTTATATCTTCTGGCCCAAGAAAGTTTTAATAGGATTTGAAAGTCTACTCTGTTGTACTGAAGAATAATGTGTGCACTTCTCATGATAGAAAAAGAAAATGTTGCAGTAAAATATTGTCTTCTAAACGATGTGGCCCTTTTTTTTGGCTCTAGGGGACATTCTTTTTATTAGTAATACGATTAGGAAATACATAAGGACTTGAATTTAAAAAAAATCAAAATGTTGCTCTTCTTTGGATACTATTTTAACCAATCAGAAGCCTATTTCAAGAGTTCAGATCCTGCCTGGCCTTTGTTGTCATTGACATACATGAAATTTCAGGCCACTGCAGATGAACCTAGAGAGTGATTTGTCCCATCATAAACCAGGTATTCATAGTAGCTATTTATTTTCATTAAATGCTCAAAGAATTTGGAAGAGTAGTTTAGAAGACATGTCTGATGATAGGAGATATTCGTTCCAATCTATGCTGGCAGTGGTCCAGAGGTAATGCAGATAGCTTTAAAATTGGGGAAAATGCCTGAACAGTCGTGGTGGAAATCAGAACAATTGCATCCCAGCTGCAAGTGCTCATAAATCACAAATCATCCATCCACAGATGCATATGATACCATATGGCTGAAAATTGTTAAATAAACTGGTCATCATTCATATAATGGAACTCTGAGGTACAAGATTCTAATGCACTATTGACTCACAACAGGTTTCTGTATTTCCTATTTTTAAAGCAAGTGTTAAAAAGATAAAATGAGTTAATAGTGGCCCTAGAAGCTGGGTTAAGAATCAAAAGCTAATGAATATACTATGTAAGATATAAATCTTTGTTACTATTGTTCTGTGTAGGTTTTGCCTGTGTTTGCATAAATATGGGCATATTTTCCTATTTCTCAGCAAACCTCAGTAGTAAAGGAAGAAAGAATGTAAACCGACAGTATCAACATTTCCTAAAATGTCAGTTTCTAAATTACAACTTGGTTCTAAAGTGTATGGACAGTAACAATTTTTTTTTATGTCTATTAAGAAACAATCAGAAAAATACAGATTTGTGCAGACCTCCAAAGCAAAAGAGAGGTGAATAGAACTAAAAAGGTCTAACTAGTGCAAAAATCATTTGTGATAAAGGCAGATGAACTCCTGTTGGTAAAACTTATTATCTGGATTTTGGTTTGTCTAAATTCAGAAACATTTGGATTTTACATGGAGATACATGTTATTAAGGACAGCAGACTATGAATCATCTCTATTTTCATCAATATGGAGACAGAATAAAAGATTAAGAGCTTACCTACATCACTTTAAAAAATGAGATACCTTTAAGATACCTTTAAGTGTTTTGATCTCTTTCAGAGTAAATGCAACCAAAAAGAAATAGCTGCCACTTGCTTAAGTGCAAGTCATTAATTCCATGTATGAAGAATATATTTGAAGTATGCATTTAGCAAAGTGGGAATGCTGAATATATATGGGTGAAAAAAATATGCATACTTCTTTGCTTTATGGGAAAATTTGTTCTTTCTGTTGGCATATTAAACAAAAGATACCAGAGTTTTTCACATTCGACATTCAGTAATCAGCAAGTGGTCTCATGATTGTGATACCATATGACTGGCCACGTTCTGAGGGGGGTAGTTAGCACTCTTTTCATAGACTCATAGAATTGGTTAGGTTGGAAGAGACTTTTAAGATCATCCTGTCCAACAGTTAATGTAGTATTGCCAAATCCACCAGTAAATCATGTCCCCAGGTGATTTTTAAATACCTCCAGGGATGGTGACTCAACCACTTGCCTGGGCAGCCTGTTCCAGTGCTTGACAACCCTTTCAGTGAAGAAGTTTTTCCTAATGTCCAACCTAAACCTCCCCTGGTGCAACTGGAGCCCATTTCCTCTTGTCATATTGCTTGTTGCTTGAGAGAAGAGACTGACCCGCACAGCAGTGCAACCTCCTTTCAGGTAGTCGTAGAGAGAGAGAAGGTCTCCCCTCCACTGCCTCTTCTCCAGGCTAAACAACCCCAATTCCCTCAGCCACTCCTCATAAGACCTGTTCTCCAGACTCTTCACCAGCTTCATTACCCTTCTTTCCACACACTTTTGTATCTCAATGTTTTTCCTGGAGTGAGGGGCTCAAAACTGAACACAAGAATCAAGGTGCAGCCTCACCAGTCTGGAATCCAGGGGCATGATTGCTTCCCTCCCCCTGCTGGCCACACTATTCCTGATCCAGGCCAAGATGCCATTGGCCCTTTTGGCCACCTGGGCACACTGCTGGCTCATGTTCAGCCGGCTGTCAATCAACACCCCTAGGTCCTGTTTCCCTGGGCAGCTCTCCAGCCACTCCTTCCCAAGCCTGTAGCATTGCCTGGAGTTGTTGTGACCCAAGGGCAGGACCTGGCACTGGGTCTTGTTGAACCTCTTACAACTGACCTCAGCCCATGCGTCCAGGCTATCCAGATCTCTCTGTAGAGCCTCCCTACTCCCCAGCAGATCAGCACTCCCACCCAGCTTGATGTATTGTTTCCAAACACTGAATGGACTAAAATAATAGTTACAGCAGCTAGTAGTACCTCTGTGCTAGCAGGTGGAGATAGCTACCAAATCCATCTTTATACAGATCTGTGTGTGATACCACAGCCATGGTGCTGTGGTCAGGTAGCAGAACAGCAACAATAGTCCACAACTTCAGGTAGAGCTTTCGTTTTTCAACTGCAGATGTATCTGGAGATGTATCCAGGTAAGGAATTAGATAGAGAAGGTGAAGATGGTTTGAGGCACTGTTTCAGAAGGGATTTTTCCTTCAACAGCCGAGAAGAGTTTCTAGCAACCGCTGCAGAACTTGCCTTGCTCTTCTCCCGGGCAACTGTTGACAGGACAAGAGGGCACGGCCTGAAACTGCATCAGGGGAGGTTTAGGTTGGATCAGGCAGCCCTTCCTCACAGAGAGGGTGCTCAGGCACTGGGATGCACTGCCCAGGGAAGTGATGGAGTCACTGTCCCTGGAGGTGTTTAAGGAGAGGCTGGATGTGGCACTTAGTGCCCTGGTCTGGCCGATGTGACAATGTTGAGTCATAGGCTGGACTTGATGATCTCAGAGGTCTTTCCCAGCTTCAGCAACTCTGTGATTCTGTAACACAGCTGAAACTTAAGAAGGAAAGATGTCAGCCATGGTGAATCTGAAAGGGTAACCCAGTGATCCAGACTAGAGATTGTATTTGCATTTGGACAACAATAGATTTAGATTGGACCTTAGGAAGAAATTCTTCAGTACGAGGGCGGCAAGACTTTGGAATAAATTGCCCAGAGATGTTGTGGCTGCCCCCTGCCTGGAGGTGTTCAAGGCCAAGTTGGACGGAGCCTTGAGTAGCCTGATCTAGTTGAGAGGTGTCCCTGCCCATGACAGGGAGGTTGGACTAGATGATCTCTAAGGTCCCTTCCAGCCTAGGCCATTCTGTGATTCTATGATTTAGATGCTCTGTGTGACACACAGCAACGAAAGTTCCTATTTCTAAAGGCTAAAATCAGGTAGCTGAGTTGTTGCTGGTGGTTCACCAAAGTATTGCCACCTGACATTACACATGGCTGGAAGGGCACAGGTCCTTGTAGCAGCACCAAAGAAAAGGTCGTCCTGATGCAGTATCACTTCATCTTCTGTTTTTAACACCCCATTTTATATTCCACTCAGAGGCAATCAGAGTTTACTGCATCATTAACGTTATTTTGAGATGAGTTTCAGGCACCTAGGAGGGGGTATTTTTCTTTTGTGATATGTACATCACAACGTACTACTTTCTTGCACTTCAGTTATTATCATTCTGTCATTTTAAAATGGCATGGCTAACAGTTTCATCATCAAAAATCCATTAAGATTTATGTGTGTATTTAAAAAGTCTTGCCAATCTTAACATGGATAATGGCAATCTCACGCATTTCTTGATACAAAAAAAGTTTTAAAGAATTTTACGTTTAAAAAGTCATGTTGAGTTTCAATTATGATATTGTAAATATAACAAATTTACTCCAGTTTCCTGTAACAGTTACTGAAACAAGGGATAATGCTCCATTTAAACACCAAAAAGATATTCACTAACACATGTCCATCCATCCATCCATCCATCCGTCCACCTGATGACCTTTAAATGTCCCTTCTAACCTAAACTATTCTATGGTTCTGCGTTAAGGAATTCTTTTTTTAGTGTAGTGCAACCAGAAGTTGAGCACGCAGGATATGAAATGCACACAGAATCACAGAATCAGAGAATGTCAGGGGTTGGAAGGGACCTCCAAAGATCATCTAGTCCAACTCTGCCAGAGCAGAATCACCTACAGTAGGTCACACAGGAACGCGTCCAGGCGGGTTTTGGATGTCTGCGGAGGAGACTCCAATGCAGAATGTGTGGGACCAGCACTTGACTCAGAGCACAACCTACAGGCAGGGGACCTCAGTGTGTCTTCATGGCCATGGGGAGAACAGACATTTGAGCATCTGCTCATGACCTGGGATGTGAAAGATGGCCAGAAAAGGAAGGCAGGACTTTAATGGTTGCATTCAATTAATGACATTCATAGGACCAATGAAACAATTGTGCTCCTGCACTTGGGACTGGTGAGGCTGCACCTCAAGTACTGTGTCCAGTTCTGGGCTCCACAGTACAGGAAGGACAGCAAGGTGCTGGAGAATCATAGAATGATCATAGAATGGCCTAGACTGGAAGGGACCTTAGAGGTCATCTAGTCCAACCTCCCTGTCATGGGCAGGGACGCCACCTCTCGACTAGAACAGGCAACACATGGGGACTAGAACGGGAAGCGAACCCGCGATCTGGGTGTTGTCATTGTTGTCAGCACCACACTCAAACCACTGAGCTAACCGGCCCCCTCTAGAGAAGGTACAGAGAAGGGCAACCAGAATGATAGGGGACTAGAGGGTAAGTCTTACGCTCTTCTCCCTAGTAAATAGCGATAGGACAAGAGGGAACGGGTTCAAGTTGCACCAGAGGAAGTTTAGATTGGATATTAGGAAAAGCTTCTTCACCGAAAGGGTGGTGAAGCACTGGAGTGGGTTGCCAAGGGAGGTGGTAGAGTCACCATCACCGGACGTCTTTAAAAAAAGGGCTGGATGTGGCACTTCAGGAGATGGTTTAGTGTTAGGGTGGTGTAGGGCTTTATGTTGGACTTGATGATGTTAAAGGTCCTTTCCAACCTTTATGATTCCATGATTCACACAACATGGTTGTATCAACTACCAGGAGTAAAAGCATCTGCTTGTGTTAAGGCTTAATTTGCACAGTCATTTGCAGTAGAGGAGCATGTTAGCAACCTGGTCTAACAGGAGGTGTCTCTGCCCATGGTGGGGGTTTGGAACTAGATGATCTCTAAGGTCCCTTCCAACCTAGGCCATTCTATGATTCTGTGATTCAGTGATTGTGTGACGTGACACGCTGGCAGCACACTCAGCAGCTGATCGCTCACCAGCAGTAGGAATATTACCCCTGAGTTCATAGCTTGCTTGTGTTTGGTTTAGTGCAGTTCTGCTCAAGTAGAATTCCTAATTGCTTGTCATGTTCTCAGCTGCAATGTCTCCCAAACACCTATGCCAGATTCTAATGCTCATGACAGAACAAAATGTCATTTGGGGCCAGTTATGGTTATTGGAATCCTCTCCAGCTCCTCCCAGGGTGGTGCGGTTACAGGCGTGCTCCTGTGCTTTTTATCATTAACCCTCTTGTAGGTTGCTGCTACATTATTCATATGCTGCACCGACTTTTGTTTCTGTGTGACAGTCTCTATGGCGATTATTTCATAAAATAATAGCTATGATAATGTTAAGGAAATAGCTACTCTCATTTTGACAGACCATCATGCCACAGAGGTGTTAGAATGGCTGCAAAATGATCAGTGGTCATAAAGGCACTTCCCGTGCTCACAGGGCCACACACAGAGGTGTGTACCATCAGCAGTCAAGAGAATACATAGCTTTTAATTTTTTATAAAATAAGCCAAAGAAATTATAACCATAAGTGGCTATCACTTTTACATTTGGGAAAAATGTTAGTGAGATAAATAATATTATAAAAAGGAAAATGGAACATGTCATAATCCAAAACAATGTCACAACATTCTTAGATTATTTTAAGTGAAGAAACTTGTTTATCAGAAGGCTAAATTTGTGATCATGACAAATAATAGGTTACAATACTTTTTTTTTGCATCAGTTTAGTTATCAGGAGGGATAGTTAACAAATTTATGAAAGAATACAATTCTTGGTTTTAGCTTAAAGAAATTCAAAATAGGCTTCTAATCAAAAAGAAGAACAGAAAGAAAAGACTTGGAACTTATGCACCAGTGTGAGGAAATGGAAATTAAATGCAGATTTTTTGACTTCAGTTTTACAATGAACAGTCACTGTGACAGATGAAAAATGAGAAGAGAAAGCAGGCGTGCCACTAACAGTTTAGTAACAGTGTAACTGGTTGAGATATAGGAGAGAGAGTTGACAATGGAGAAAAAACATTGGTTTTATTTGTACTTTCATTTAGATATGGCAGTAATTGGATACACTAATCTCTAAATTGTAGCAGAGAGAAAAATGCAGAAATTTTCACAATGATCAGATCATTCCATTGGCAAGAGTAATATGAAGACTTTAAATGAGAATTCTTTTTTTTCTTGGCCAAGTAAAGTTGCAATGACTAAAGATGACACATTTCCATACATTCCAGTGTGTTACAGAGATAAGATAAAGGTATGTCTTCTAAAGAATGTAATAAAGCTGTATATTAGGGTAGTTTATAAATAGAATTTCTTATTTAGAAAAGAATGTTAAACAATTAAAACTAGAACACGAAAAAAGAAAGGTATGAAACAAGCTCTAAAAATGAAGTGGAAAAGGACTAGAAAGGTTTATCAATAGTTAACTTGGATGAGAAAAGGATATGCAGATAACAGATGCTAATAAAATGTGTAGAAAGTAAGTTTACAGAAATGAGAAAGATACTACTCAGAAGTTTAAAAATTCAACTCATGATCCCACTGGCTAAAAAAAGGCAGTGAAAGGTTTTCCTTCGCTTTAGTGAGATATACGCTCCTTTTTGGTACTAAGTGTAAAAATATCTGCATCTGACATTCTGTGAGCTTTGAATATAGCAAAAGTGTTCAGAAGCTGTGGTATTTTATTTTTTTAAGTTGATAGAAATAATTTTATTTCAATAAATGACATGAAACAGTGGTAAGTCTGCTAAAGGCTTCTATCAAAAATACTGTCTTAACTAGTTCTGATCCTATATCTGAATTAAGTAAACTGAAATAAAATTGAATCTTTAATGACTGACGAATAACAGATTTCTTTTTTCTAATGTGTAATTAATCATAGTGATAGAAAAGTCTTTTTTTTTGTATGACTTGATGAAAATTAAATTTTATAGATAATTTATGGACTCACTCATGCATAGTTAAACATTTTGTTCAATAGCTAATTCTTCTTTGTAACAGTCCAAAAGCAGCTCTGAGTGTTAATGTAATAAAATTCCCCTTTTTTATTTTATGGAGAGAAATTAGTTAGGAGTGTACTTTGTGTCCTTTATCTTCCTCCCAAACCCTAGAATCCTAGGTTAAGAGGATAAGAAGCAGTAAGTCAGGAAATCTTCAGGAACATTTCAGTAAACACTTGTATTTAATTTTTTTTTTTCCATGTTTCACTGAATGTTAAATAAATCCATGAGTTCTAGGAGTATTCTGACTTAGAAGAAAATCATTGCAAATCTGCAGTGCAAGCTATAAATTTCCAGATTGAGAGAAGCCATTAGTTCATAAAACAATCAAGGGTAACTTGGTAATAAACTCTCAAAAGTACTTCAGGAGGAAAAACTTCTCATGTACTCTAGAAGGACTCTATAATTTTGATGTTAAATAGTCATGTCTACAAATAAAAAAAATTAGAATGTAGAAAGAATTATGCAATTTCTAGCATAAGAAAGTATCCAGAGGCAAATGTTCTATAATCTTTATGTTTTGTATTTCAGATTTTTCTAATATTTATCATCACATACAAATAGATATGGAATAAAGAAATCTCCATTCCAAAGTTCAGATATTTCATATATATTTGCTAAATGGTATAAACCAGCTGATTTAAACATTGTTTCATGCTGTCCAGACAAAGTTTCAATTTTTAAAATTAATATATGAGTATAAGAGGGTAACTAAGAATGCAACTTTGACTTCTTTCAGTTTCTGATGGCCCTTCTAATAAGGCATAAATTAACTATATATCATTATTTTGTTACCTAGGAGACACCTTAAAGCAACAGTGTAAAACACTGTCGTCTGCTGCCGGTGAAGTCATAGTGTAAAGGATGTATTCCCAATTTAATCTCAGAAGTTTGGGAAAAAGTCTAATGTTTATGTTGCAGATATTGTACAAATCTCTGTGAAATGCAGCATGTGGTCCCTCAAAGACAAGTCCTTTTCCAAAATGCACTCATGTCTGTGCTTCTTTGAAGAATTAAAACTTACTATTATTACACAAGTCACCTCACTATTTAAGTCCATTTTCTACAAAGAAACAGGAAAAACAAGGTATAGAGTTGAACTAGTAATTACGAATTGTGGCTCACTTTCAAGCCAGCTGTTTAATAACCTCCTCCAGCAAAGTCCGTTTCCGTCGTTATGTCCCCTTAGTGGGAAGTGCTGTGCCCATCAGCAACTTAATATTTACCTTCTCCTACTCCTGTCCGTTGAAATTTGGGACTGGATACCTTCAACTTGATTTATGCTCATTTGATAGTTCATCCCTGCAAGAGTGAGATGATATCAAACAGCATTTAAACTACACAAATAGTCCAGGATATGCTAAATGTTCTGATTTTGACTTCAGGCAAACTCCAGATAGATGAAGTGAGATTCCACCTACATTTGAAGGCATCGTGTAGCTTTCCCGTTTCTTTCTTCCTGATGTTGAAAAGTGGCTATTTCCGTGGGAGTTAAAATAAAATCTCAGCAATGTAAATAAAGTTTTGTTTTCTCCCGTATTCTTTATTTGAAAAAAAAATAACTTTTTCTTTTTTGCATTATTAGAGCTTCTCTGTGTGAAGCTGAACTTCAGGAATTAGTGCATCAAATTGACATCATGGTAAACAGCAAGAAAGTGGAATGGGAAAGGAAGATGAAAGCTTTAGAAGCAAAGGTGGATATCAAGGATCAAGAACTAGCAAGTGCCCAAAGCAGACTGGATGAAAAAGGTCAAGAGGTATTTAAGAATATCACATTCTATAAAGAAAGTATTTATTCTAGTAGCTAGCTAATAGTGTGCTCTAAATGCTCTATAAGGAAACCTGTTTGTTCTATCATGTAGAAATACCAAACACCCTGTAAAGGTCACTAATTATTCTTAGTGTTTTGTTTTAAAATGTGCTTCTGTTCTGAAAAGTGATTGTAAAAATGTCATTGAAACTCTCATATTTCTTCTGTTTCCCTAAAGTCTAAATCAAATATTCTCAGTTTAGTTGTAAAAAGGTAATTTGATATTTTTGCTAAATGCCAGCACTTCTAGTGTAACCAGAAATGTGAAATGGAAATGTACAGTTCAAAAAGTTTCACAAAATTATGCCTTTGTAATTCCTGTTTGTACCTCATTTTTATCATTTTACATGACAGGATGTCTTTGTATGATAAATTCGTTATTAATAGCGAGGATTTGAATTGTGCTACCACTTAGACTTGCTTATCAAACTGAAAGCCCCAGTGTACCTAATGTTGTCCCTGCTTCACAGTCCTGTCTGCTGAATATTCATTTGGAAGCATCAGTAAATCCTAGCACAGCACTTAGTCCTAGTTGCAGACATCCAGAGTAAGTGGTATTTACACACGGGCATCCTCGTGTGAGTCAGATGTCGGAACTGCCAGTGAGAGTTTTGAAAATGAAATAACTCTCTCTAATAAGCAATTAAGAACTTGCCCTTAGTTATTGCAGTTAGAGGAGCCAAGAGAATAAATAATTCAACTGGCCAATCCTTAAAGCACCAATTTATTTGCCTGTACAGAGATGTTATCTGAAATGTTTTAGCGTATTCTCTTAGCATCCAGCTGCCCCTCCAGGAAAACATCAGTGTCATGTGTGGTCTTTGCCATATTTCTCAGATCTCTGTGAAACTCAGATAATTCCAGGTATCTGAAATGGCACTGTACTTAGGAACCTGAAATGAGTCTACAGTGTCTCCTGATAATTTGTATGTAAGTAGCTGGAAGTCATTTCGATGATTATATAAGCCATTCAAGCAAAATGTTCACAATGGGGCACAGCAGTTCATTCATATAGTTGGGTTAGAAAAGCTTCCATTAAATGGACTTTCATGACAGACTCAGACAATATTACCATTAAATCGTATCCTGAGCCTACAATGAGGTTTTTACTATAAAATCCCTAACTTAATGTCGACACCATCTGGGTTTCTGGTAAACAGTTTTATTATTAAGCTACTGAATGAATATGTATTTTTAATATCTATCTTTTAAGCAACAGTCTACTTTCAAAGTTTCAGAAGGTGATTCCAAAAATGACGCATTTTGGAACACTTTGGGAAAGGTAAATTGGCATGCTTATTCTAACTGCAGGTGGAACTACTGCAACAGAAACTGGAAGACTTACAGAAAACAAAATATGAAATGGCTCAGCATTATGAAACACAGTTTCAAGCACTGCAGTCTCAAGTAAGAGAAATGTCTATTTCATTACTTCATGATTGCAGAATAAAGAGCTTGTTCATGCCTAATGGTATAAGTGTAGCTCTATGGATTTGGGAAAGATTAATTGTGTCATACAAATTATGATGACTACAGCTTCCTACAGGGGTCCATTATCATTCCTGTACTGACATGTCTGAACCCTTGGGATGGATTTTGGTGTGATCATGATATCTGTTACAGAGACAGATACACAGTTTCCTAACTTTGGACTAATAAACTAAAACCTTGGTGAATGAATAATTCCGATTCATGCCAATAAGGCTTTTGCGCACATTAGGAATTTTAAGGCATAAAATGTTTCATCGTGTCTTTGCTGTATTTTTTTCTGGTTTTAGTTTGCCTGATTTACAGGAGTTATTAAAGTGGTCTGATAGCTTTCAATAAAGGAACATAGTATCAAAATGAGAGCAACCTGAATTGTTGACTGTGAACTTGCTTTGGCTTTACTGATTTCGGAGTGTGCTCACTCCAAAGTCTCTTGAGAAGTATGTTTCTGTATTTAAAGGCAAATTACACTAACTTCTTTCACAGCAAAAAAAAATCATGGAACTGGATTAAAGCAAAACTTTCATAGGCCTGGTGCTTTAAAGAGCAAAATTTCTCTTTTTTGATTCAAAATTAGGCATTTAAAAAAAGGATTTACTTACCATTTTAAAGCATTGGCCCAGAAAGCCAACCATGTCCTGGGCTGCATCAAAAGAAGCGTGGCCAGCAGGTCAAGGCAGGGGATTGTCCTCCTCTCCTCTGCTCTGGTGAGACCCCACCTGCAGTGCAGGCTCCGGCATAAAAAGGACTGGACCATGTTCAAGGCTGGGTTGAACGGGGCTTTGAGCAACCTGGTCTAGCAGAAGGTTTCCCTGCCTATGGCAGGGGAGGGGAGGAAGAGATGATTTTCCAAGGTCCCTTCCAACCCAAACCATTCTATAGTTCTGTGATTCTCTCACTCTCTTTGGCTGTGTTTGCTCTGTGCCTTTGTTTCTTTATTATTTTCCACTTTAGTCATGATTCTAAAGCCTCAGTGAACTTCACTGTATTCTGTTTGTCAGATTTTCAACAGTTAACATATGCAGTTCTAAATTGTTTTTCCTGATATTCTACTGTTTCCTTCACTGGATCTCCTACCAGAGATTAATGTCACAGTTAAAAAATTCCAGTCATCACACTTACCATAGAATAATCTTGGATTGCACAAATTGCATATCCTTATTTTCATTTAGAAGTGGTAGCACTTAGCACCAAAATCCATCTAACAAATAAATGTAGAACTTGTTCCTAAGGTTGTCTTTAAATTATATTTTCTTTTATATGTGGCAGTTTATTTGACAAACATTTCTGTAAGTAAGCAGAGAATGTTTTGTTTCTTACATAATTAACACTTTTAATAATTTGAGAAAGTAGCTAGAAAAAAAGCGATTTTATAATGTACAAAAATTGCAGAAAAAGAAACAATATCACGCAATGAAAAATGTGACTATTTATGTGTAAGTTGTAAGGTACTTAAGCAACGTAGAACTATTCCCCAAAATACAGTAGATTTCTCTTTTCTCATCCTTTTTCACATTTGCTGCAATATTTTTCAATTTTTTCTTTCATCACATGGTAAAAATGACTGGGTTTGTGTTACATGTTGTTGCTAAAAACTTCACTGAAATGGAACTTTCTGAAATGGAAACTCCAAGTCATTTTTCATAAAGATTTTGATTTTGAAGTTAATTGCCCTACAAGACCTTTGCATGGGCAAATACAATCTGTTTCATCTTTGTGGGTTTTTAAAGAATGTGATACTTCCTAACCTACAAGCTTCTCTCTGTGAACCTGGTTCTACTTTTTGACACGATTCTCCTCTTTAGTTACCACTGAGATCACAGAACCTTTCTTTCAATTTCCTGATTGCTTCTTCTTTTATGCAAGAAGTTTGGATTTCTAGATTTTAAGAATATACATCACTTTCCCATATGTGCCTCCAAACATTTCTTTCTCTCTCAGTTGTTCTCCTTATTTTACCAAAGGTTCCAGCACTGATACCATTTGCATTTTTATCTTCTGATTCCCTTTCTTCTTTCACCAAACCCTATTTCTTCATGAAATATTCATCCAGCACACACTGATTGGAGAACTAAACTCCCAATTTGCCCAGATTGTCTATGCCATAAACAGAAAGTTTGTCTGTTAAAACAATTCCAGTCACCTCTGCTGGAAGTACCACTCTGCTTCTCTAGCTTTTACCTCATCTTCTGATGGAGTTTCTTTCTGAAATTACGGTGCTGCAGTGCCCACAATAGAATGGCTTTAATGTCCCCAATTCTCAGCTGCACAAATACATATCAAAAATGTAGAGCTTGCCTGACAATATTAATCTTTGCCGTATCTCCTTTGTCTCCCTTCTTCTGGTTTTTACCCTCACTTGGTAGCTATACTTCCTTCTACGCTCTATCATCTTAAGAGCTACAACTGAGTTGCGCACAAACGGAGTGAGTGTTACTATTTAACAGCAGCATTGTGTCTTTCTCTGGAGATGTTTTCTTAAAATCCTTCCCAATTTTTGTTCTTTCCTAACCCTGGTAGAAATGGAAAGGATTCCTTTTTCTAGCTCTCAGAATGCTAGGCTATTCAGAACAAATTTCCCTCTGATATACTGCTTCTGCGGCCCTCAGTGCTTTTTACCCTTCCTACCAGTAACAGCAGCTGTTTAATGAGCAACATTCCCACTGAACTGATTGTGTGCCTGTTGAATGCACTGAAACCTGTATTTTTCCTGTATTAGGGAAGTAATTCCTAATATGCAACCTGAAACTCTTAGAGCACACTGCTGCACTCATTCAAATGTACAACATTTTGTCATAATTAAATAGCAAAAACTTCATCTTCTTTTCTTTTTTTTTCTATATTAATTTCTAGTAGTTATTCTCATTTTGAAAATGACAGAAATCCCTCAGCGAAAGAATGAGAATCCATTCTTGCTCTAAGCACTTCAGCAACTAATTGCCTCGCTTCGACATTTAAAAGCTGGCTGACTGCATCTGAGCTACCTCAGGCTCCCTTTGGAATCGGTGGAGGGAAATGGACACCCCTAGAATGTAATTCATGTCAGCGTATGACGAGAATTTAAGGTAGCCGAAATGACTAAGCATTTGGAGGCAATTTTTGTAATGGAGAGTAGCTCAGGTTTGGCTGTCTAACCATCAGAAACCTAAAATGAGATGAATTCTAACACAGAACTCACCGAAATGTTTCATCTTCGTATTTTTTTCTTTTTTGACTCGTACAACAGGCAAATAGAACAACTTGGCCCTTATTTTTTAATCTAGCATTAAATTTTTTATCTAGCATTAAATGGAAGGATTCTTGGCTTTTAGTCTAATTTCTGGTCATGGTAACACCCAGACTATAATCTGTCTGAAATATCCTACTTTCATTAAATAAATCTAATACTCAGACTAACTTTTCTCATTTTGATCATTCTGTTCCACTTGAGACTGATTTGCTGAAGTGTTGGATCCTGCATTTCCCAGCCTTTTTGGCATGAACAATCTAGTACCTCTCTTCATCTCAGTTTGTTCTTTCCAGGCAGTTCACATACGCCGTTAACGTATTAAAGAGCAAAACTCTTGTTATTTGAAAGAAGGATATCTTTCTTCCAAAGGCAATGAGTTCCGTGTCGACTGAGCCTGGGTACTCTGACCCGTTTTAAGTATTTTATCTTAACTGTGTTCTCTAGCAAGGTCAATTTCAAATATAGACAGCTTTTTTGCAAGATTTTAAAATTTGTTTTGAAGGAGATATCTCAGCTCTGTAAGTCCATGTTACGGGATTTTTATTCAGGAATTCACTGTTGGTCAAATCTATCCCTGGACTGCCCCATTTCATGAGGCTTTCTAGTCTCAGACAATCTTATCTTCTGGTCATTTTTTCAATTATTTTTTCCTCTTCCATATTATGAGTTCCTGAAATCATCTCAAATGTTTCTAGGGAGTTTCCAGATTATTTTTTAACTCAAGTTTCTATTCTATATCTTTTCTGGACTTTTTAGGCCATCTTTGTTATCTCCGCAGATCTCAATTCCTTCCTCTAGGTTGACTCAATAGGATTCCATTCCATTTCCAAGTAATCTCTTTTCTGACAGTAGTTCACTTGAACAGCTAACAAATATATGAGATTTTATGGATTTTGTTTGTTTAGACAAAGAACTTAATGTTAAGAGTTAGAATTTAAGTCATATATACCTGGATTTAAAGGAATGAAACAAGAGACATGATCAGTATTCATAGCTGTAAGCTTTTTTCCTACTCAACATTCTTCACAAAGCTCTTTCACTCTGCTTCCCTCAAGACCATATTTTGTTTCCTTTGTCAGTAACCATAGTTTTCCTTTTTTTTTTTTCTTTCCCAGACCAGATGTATGTCTCTCTCTCAGACAATGTAAATTTGCTGTAGCAAACCTGTTAACAGTCCTGAGCCCCTTTGCTTGTGTAGAATAGCAAACTGTTGATCAGATCAGCCCTTTTTCTGAAGAGGCTGGTGCCTTCAAAGAGGCTGATACTTCTACTGCTACCTGCCCTTCTCTGCCTGTGACTCCCTTGCCTCTGACTCCCAAGCCATGCTTTCATGGTGAGATCAACAGGCAGAACAGTATTTAGTGGTTAATTCTCTTCAACGCTCTTTGGTACTTAATGATTCCAGAAGGATGCACTCATCACACACGTAACATTTCAACAGTTTTCATGATAAAAAAAAAAAGGAAACATGCAAGTTTTAAATACGTTCATGGTAATCTTCGTTCGGGCTAGTGAAACACCCTTTAAAAATGTCAACACAAGATGGCAGTAAACAAGTACAGAACATTTCAGTTAAACATTCTACAGGAAATGACACTATGAGTAACAGTGCCGTAAAGAACTTTGATCTGTCCAATCAACCCACTGGAAAAATTAGTTTAACATTCACATGAGAGCTTAATCTGGTTCGTCTCTATGAAATTCACTTCATTAATTGATTCTTTGTTACATCGATTAAATATTTAGAAGGCTGAAGATGCAGTTGGCGATTCTAGCGTAAAGAAAACTTTGGCCATGTATTACAGACCTCAGGACAACTTTGACCATGTAGGGCTAGATATAAAAATGTCGGTTTCATTACTTTATGATTGCAGTATAAAGAGCTTATTCATGCATAGATGTACCTCTGTCGATTTGGGAGAGATTAATCGTCTCATACACATTATGATGACTCCAGCTTCCTACCAGGCTCCATTATAATTTCTTTACTGACATGTCCAAACTCTTTGGATGGATTTTGATGTGCTCGTGATATCTGTTACAAAGACAGGTACTTGATTTCCTGATTTGGACTAATAAACCAAAACCTTGGTGAACGAAATAAAGTAGATAACTAGATTCATGCTTACGCACATTAGGAATTTTAAGATGTAAACTGGTCTCATCATATCTTTGCTATATTTTTTTCCTGGGTTGTCTGGTCATATTTGATAGATTCTGCATGTTCAACTCTTTCATTTTTAGCTTTCAAAGTTGACACATAGTTATGAAAAGCTACAGTCACATCGCTTAAAACAAAAAAAGGTTGAAAATAGAGAAAAATGTGAGAAAAGCCTAGAGACGCCACCTGAATTGATCAATTTATGTGAGAAACTGGGGGTAAGAATATTTTGTTATTATAGTCTTATTTTAATATGTCCTTAGTACTAATTTGTGGTTTACAGTTGTGAACTTTTTTCCTTGATAATTCTAGAAAAATCATATAAATGTCTTGCTCTAGTAAAATAAGGTGCACAGATTAATATTCAGGTTTTGTTGTTTTATCCAAGTTTTATGAACATTTTTAGTAGTTTTATGAGTTAATATAGATAATTTTCTTAAGGGTAACCATAAATGAACTTTACTTTTTTCCTGATTAGTGTATGTGTAGTGTAGACAATATAACCTGTTGAGGCATGAGACCTTTTACACATGCAAGACACCGTCACACAATGCCTACCATTTATTCCAGTTTTACACACCTCAGGACCACTTTGACCATGTAGGGCTGGATCAAACCAGAATTCAGGATTGGAAGGCTGTTGGTTATATATATATGTCTTGTCAGCACCCAGGTGCTCGAGGCAATCCACAACCTCAACCGCAGCGCCTGATTTCCCTAGGTGACACATGAAGGAGGATTACACAACTGAAATTATTTTCCGCAGAATCCAGCACACCGAGTGGGGACTAGATAGTATGAGATGCTGTGGACAGGATTGGGTCATATTCTTTATCCCTCCGGATACAGAGTGGGTTTTAGCTGACTTATTTTTGGATACAGGAGGATACCAGTTTCTGATCAGCCTTGACTTCTCAGAGTTAGAAGTTACTTTATGATCTGCGGAATAATCCAAATATTTATAGGGTGAACGAGAGAGTTAGCCAGCACAGAGGATGGCATATAGGGAGCGCTTCCAGGTGATGATGTCTCCCCAGATACCCTTCTGGCTACATTCAGTGGTGCAGAAGCTGATATCCTGTCTCATTTCTTATAACTGAGTGATGTAATCTCTACCTACACTCATTTTTGCTGCTTCTTTTTTACTTACCCGATAAATTTGCTGGTATCCTGTGCAAAGTGAAACAACTTCGAAAGGAAGAATTCCAGAGTGTGTTGAAAAATAACATTTTTTTGTTAGGTAGAAAATGAACATGGGGAGATACCGGTTCAGATTCTGTCTGGAGAGAAGATGATTAAACTGAGTCTTCCAATGAAGCATAGGAAGATCACAAAAATACTCCACATTCTCTCTGGCTGTCCTTTGTAAAGAGCATAATAAAGTAGTGTGTGCTCTGAGCATCGACCAAACTGGGTCCTTTTTCAGAGCAGTGTGGGTTGGAAGTGTGAGCAGGATGGTGGCTGCTAAGCACTGTGAAACTTTTCAGGCTTCTGGTACAGATTTGTGTAGATTTATGATGTAGATTATTTAGACACTTTGAGAATTTCACAACCAAAAATTTAAGATCTAATAGATTTTAAGTACTTCCGTACTAAAGCTGCAATTAAGAAGGGGTTTAGGATCTTTATTTTGAGCTTGCCTCTCTTCCGTGTTATTCTGTAAGATACAGGACTACTGCAACCTTCGTGTGACTGTTCCTGCATAATGGGACACATCCTAGGCACTTCCTAGCTCCATATAATGTTGCTGTCTTGTCCACATGGAAGAGTCCTTAACCATGAGAAAATCTACTCGACTTTGGACTGCAGCACAGCTGCCAGCATCTGCTACTACAAGAATAACAAACGTGTTACACGTCTGCCATTGACTAAATGTGTCACTACTGCGAAACTGTCTGATCCAGCTAATTGCAGAATGACCTTACTTAAGATTAAAATGTGGAAATAATGTAACACAATGCTATAATTTGATTAATTATGCAGTATGAAAAAGGAGTGCTTGGAATATATTCAGCAAATTCAGGTATTCAGGAAATAATTGCCGTGTTCAAAATCTACTAAGCTCAGCAGTGCTTTAGTAAGGCCTTGGACCTGCAGTCCTCATTAAGTAGTCTGAAACGCCATTTGTATCACATTTTGTAAAGTGGGAAGATGTTTATTGGCTTAAAATGCTAAAGCAGATATTAGGATAGCTGTAAAAGATCTGTATTAATCTGTGTTAGAAAGCAATTTTGTTTTGAGTTGCAAATAAAATCTTATTTTTTTAAATTTGGGGAATACGTCAGGTTAGGATAATTATAAAAAATCATGTTTCTTTTTGGAACAAGTATTTGCATTGTGAGAAAGGAAGTTCTCTTGACAGCTACAGTGTTCGGTATATAAAGCAGTATCCTGCTACTGGGCTAATTCTTCAAACTAAAAGAGCAACAGCCCTAGTAACTGGAGTCCTACTTCTGTGTTAAAGTCTAGTTGTGGACATGTAACATCTGGTATTATTTAAGAGCAAATTCACAGACATTGTAAGTAGGAATTTAAGTGCAAATACAAAAGCAACATTAGATAAATCTACTATAATAGAATTTGTTAAAAAAGTTCTTGTTTAAACTGTGTCAACTCAGAATCAAAAGCAGCAACTGTAAAGAGAGGAAGGAGTAAAATTTATTCATAGTAGCTGCTGTCCCACTTATTAGAAAAAATGAAAAAAGGAAGGAGTCAAAACATTTATCTGAATATTAAGGGTTTGATTCCCTGCTGTTACTCTACTTGATGCTGATATAGCTTTAAAAACACAGCAACTGTGCTCCAATAAAACGAGTGTATTATAGTCATAACTTTAAGATCTACAGCAATGGAGGTGATTTTTAAAAAATTATCATTTTTATACAGTGATTTTGTTTTATCACCCATTCTTTTCCGATTAACAGCCCTTAAGACTAGATTTTTTTCTGGTGGGAGTAACTAGATGGCTGGTTTATATCATTGTTCTTTTTTCTTCTTTCCCAAATTCGGGAAAGATTATGTATTAATGAAAAACCTAGATTTTTCTTAGAACTGTAGAATTAAAAAAGTTATTTAGATGAAGAAAAAAAGTTATTTTCCCTTTGTTTACTAGCCTTGTTTTGCTGTCTTTCAGGCAAAATCAAGAGAATGGGATAAGAAGGAGACAATCTGCCAAAATTATCTTGTTTATTTAGATGCTCAACAAAAATTAATTCAGGTAAAATTCTGACCTTTCTGCTTTAGGAGGAGAATAAGCTCAGCTAGGGCTATTTTAACTCAGTTTCAAAAAATCTGAACACCATGAAGCTTATAGTGAGTCTGTCATTACCTGGATATACTGGTAGTGAATACATTGCTTTAGGTAAGGCAGACCTGTAATGGAAGATCTAATGATATACATGGTTATTTTAATTTTATTTTCCTAATGATATTGAGAAAATGAATGTTTCATCATGAAAATTACAACATTTCTCATTTTAAAAACCTACAAAAGGCTGTGCATGTTCCTTTTTACTTTTTAACTATACTGTGGAGATACTTCTATCTTCTGTGGTATTTATTAATATGCAATTAATTGTGATGACAATTATTGAAAAGTATCTTACCAAGTAAGTAGCACATGCCATTACTATGGTGGCTCAGATACAAAGTTCTGTCAAATCTAAGATAGCCCTCATTTTTTGTTTGGATCATAAGTATACATTAATACAATTTATGCAGAAAAATGAATTTCTGTGTGTTACTCCACAATCACACTTGGAGCTGTTTATTGGATCATTTATCCCTTTTTTATCGTATTTTTCAGTTTTCAAGTTACCATTCAGTCCTTGGTTGACTTTATGATTCTTTCTTACTTGCCAACTTGCTTACTGCTTTTTTAATATAGTCCATTGATCTAGCATACTTTTTTAATTCATACATACATACATGAATTTTTAATTCATACATTTTTTTTTATTCATTCCAATCCAGAACAAAATACTGATTTAATGATGTCTTGATGACCTGTCCTGTTCTAAAAAAAAAAACCAAAATAACTTACAAATTAACTGGGCCAAAAGACATCTCCAAAATTAAGTAAGGGGAAGCCAATTACGTTGCTGATTAGTAATCCCCTTTTCCACTGTTACTGAACTCATTGGATCTTAATCTAGTGAAACACTTTCTTAACGATTGCTGTGAGACTCCAGTCTCCTCAAAGTTTCCAAGGATGACAGTTAAGTTTTGGTTTTAGGTGCTGAAAGCATTATATTGCAACTATTCAACTTCTCTACAAATACGTTAAAAAAGTGAAGCTTTGACTAGATGAAACTGCTGACTGATGTATGCTGGTTCTATAGTTACACAAGTCAAAATAGAGTTCTTGGGGAGTCCATCCACATTTTTCTCTGAGGCTTTCAGTGCTTTTAATGAACTTTCTTTGAAAACAATTGTCTTCACAGCCATAACATAACACTGACAAATTTATTAAATAGAAATCTGATGGACTGTTACTGTTGCAAAAGCATTAATTGGTCCTGGATCTTTGTCTCAGACTCCTCTTTTGTGAGGTCTTTGATTTCCAGATGGAGTCTTGCACTGGTTTTTTTTACAGGATGCTGTGACATTTTGATATGTCAGACTCCACAACTTAGATGTCAAGGGGACCTTGATTGGTTATCTATAGAAATGAAACTTACCTGCAAATTTTTTTCATTTTTTTGTTTGATATGCAGTCAGTAGTCAGTTCCTCTCAGATATTCAGCCAACACAAATGATGGGAACATGGTCAGTGACTCCACAAGCTGTACTTTTTCCTGTCCTTGTCAATGAAATAGGGCATTCCTAACCCTATTTGTGTTTAATATACATTTTCTTGCTCAACTGCACATGATATATGGTTTCCAGGTTATGTTTTGTTGTCATTTTCCTATCTTCAGTTCTCAATCTTCTGAAAGATTACTGCTGCCTGTTAATCTTCCAGTAGAGGGTTTCCTATGGATAGCTTTATAAAAGCAGAAACAGTTACCATAGTAATTATGCATCCTCACGATTCCTCTGAATTCACAGATACCAATTTCCTGAAGTTTTGGGTTTAAGATTTTAATTAGTACAAGAATGTGAATGGAGTGTGGGGCTCAGCAAAATGTGCAAATGATTCTTCCCCGAGCTTAAGGATAATGATATTGAAGTACCATTCCTGTAGCAACTGAACTGTTTATACATGAACTAAGTATTGCTAACCCTCTAGTCAAAGGTTAATATCTATCCTGAGGCACGCACACACACAAATACAGAGTTCGATGAATCAAAGAACTTTTCACTCAAATTATTTTTATAGGTAACTGCTTTAACTAGGTCATCATAATCACCGTTTTCACATTTGAGACCAATAACATTAAGTGCTAAGGAAATACACAGCAGAGGAGAAAAATCCTTGGAAAAAATTATGTGCCCTTGAAAGTTTCGGAAAATTTTTTTTCCTCAGGGCGAGGAACATGAGATTAAAAAAAGGAAGTACCTTTTAAAGAAGTAACGCAAACTGTTCCAGTTGTGCCATCTTTTCTAAGCAAATTCTGGTGAAGATGGAAGTGGCTTTATGATTTTAGTAGTTTGGTCCCAGCAATTTACATGTAATTATTGAATTTCATTTAAAAGATTTTTTTGTTTTATAGAAGCAGACCCAGAATTATCAATACCAAATAAGCAATAAGAAACAAAACCAAGACGAGGTAATTACCTATGGCCAGCCTGAAAGTGAAAAGGATGAGTTGATTATTGAAAAGCTGAAGGCAACTGTGAATGAAGTAGCAATAAGCAAGAATAAACTAGAAGAGGAAAATCTGAAACTCCGGGAGGATCTAAAAATGTACCAAAGCCAGTGCCAGGTAGTAATAATTTTTCTTTTTCATAATGACTGTGGAATTAACATTGGAGAATTAATTACTCAGGACTAAACTTGAAAGAGTAGTACTGAGATGTGTATACAGAAGATCTCTACATTAGGTATATTCTTTGCAGGAACACAGAATGAGCTGTCAACAGTACAAATCTTTGAGTAACTCTTCAAGAGAAGACAGCAATATGTTTGATATGTAGTAGTATATTTTATTCTTGTCTGTTTATCTTGGGGTTTATAACCTTCCTATATCCGTAGCATCTACAGCAACTTAACCCAGTTCACTTGGTCCCTTGTATATAAATGACGTCTATGAAATCTATTTATCTGATTTACAACTTCTTGTACACTGTGCCACATAGCTAGTAAATAAGTATAGAAAAAAAGTATGGTATACTTTATTATTATTATTATTGAGAGAAGATTTTGCAGTCAATGAATTTTAAGTTGCCAGTCTTGTGAAGAACCATGAGTTTTCATCTTATCCCTAGTTTAATGTTTTTCAGCTATGATCTATGAAGACAGCCATTTGGGCCTCTTTTGGTGTTGATATATGAGTTCTGACAAGATTGAGATAATACAAGATATTTACAGCCTTTTGTGTTAGCTGTGTCTGAAACAGATAAGGAATGAGATTCTCGTTGCTATTTTTTTTTCTGGTAACATACATAAGTTATGCTTTTGCTTATTTATTTAAGCACTTCAAGCTTTGGTAATGTATCGAATGGCCTGCCATAACTTCAACTTTTTCTGGAGAAAGATAATCTAATTTCTATTTATAGGCAACCTTGCAGAGTTATAATCTCATATGCAATATACTTACCAGGAATTAACATTTCTGTGGTGGAGGTTAATTTCAGGTGCTGTTAGAATGGTCAGGTTTAGCGCAGATGATGTTTACACGTTTCGTTTGCACGTTAGTCCATGGAGTTACTTGCCTGTGTAGAAGTTACTGGTATGCAGGCAAAACCCTCTGTTTTGGGGTCTGTTAAAAAAGCTGCCATCAAAAGTAGTGGGACTAGAGTGTGGAGTGGAACAAATCATGGCAGTTGGAGCAGGTGATAGATACCGAGTGACAAAGAGAGTAAAAGTCATTGTGGTGTAGCCTTTAAGAAAGCCTTCAAGCAAGAGGATTTTTGGAGTTGTGAAGAGAGTACAGGAGCTGTAGACATTTCAAGTAGAAGTGTGTTGTGGTTTGACCCTGGCCAGCAGCCAGGTGCCCACACAGCCGCTCTCTCACCTCCCCTTCTCTTCTCGACAGGGGGAGAAAATACATCGAAGGGCTCGAGGTTTGAGCTAAGGACAGGGAGAACACTTGCATTTACTGTCCTGGGCAATACAGGCTCAATTTTGGGGAAATTAGTTAGATTTATTAAAAGAACAAATTAGAGAGACGTAGTGAGAAATAAAAGAAAAACAGATCTTA